CACATTTATCTTTCTTTTTCACATTCTGATTTATTTTTTTTATTTCCGAGTTAATGTTTTGTCTTTTCAATTCAATGAAACTCTTTTTGTCTGTTAATTTTATTTATTGTCTGACAATTTTGAAAGAAAAAAAGTACTTGGATCACCTGGTTTTTTCTTCTTTTATTTTAGTGATTTCATATTTGTTTTTTTCAAGAAATTTAATTTTATATATACCTGGAGTCAATTTAAGTTTTATTGTCTAAGAGAACTGTAAATTGTGTTTAAGGTAGAGTTTTTGAAATTATTTCAACAAGGTTATTTTTTATTCCGTTTGTTTTAAGTTTTTACCTTTCCTTGTCATTACTTATTTCTATTCTTCCATCTCATTACAGTTCCATTAGTATTTTGTCTTATATTTAATTTTATCCTATCTATTTCTATCTTTGAGATTCTGTTTTTTTCGCATAATGTCCCTAATTCTCCGACATTGGCAAATTATGTTTGGATTGAGGTTTTAGGTCTTATATGATTTCCCACCATAGTTCTAAAAATTAAATATGTTTGATTGGTGGTGTTCTTTGCTGGGTTTTCGAAGCAGTGAAAGAATTATCTCATAACTTGTCGATAAAATCCTCAAGACCATTTCGTTCGTTTTTATTTTTTTTAGTCGATTTGGTATTGAGTCATTTGGTCCAAGGTTGGTAAATAGTCCGGGTTTGGTGACCTTTGTCTCTTCGTTTGTGGAAGAGTTTTCGCTAGCAATGAATTTTTCGTCCTCAGACTGGTTTTTTTCTCTGAGGGGCATCAAATTTGACCCGGGTGACGAGCGATCCGGTATAAAATTTTATTCGTATTCATTGAAATTGGTAGAATATTTATTTTTAACCTTGAGCGCAAAGGGGTATTTATGTTTGTTACCAGCTTTAGGACGAATTTCGAAGAAGACCCATAAAAGCACGCCCTAACAATGAGATTGGTAATCTAATGTGGATTTTTAACAAATCGAAGGTGGAATAGTTCATAATATATTATTGTAATCAGTTTTTCAGACTATACTAAATTTTAAAATTTATAAGTCGGTGACTACTTAATGGGGAATATCAGATTTTAGTATTAAGGATTTAAAAATAAAAATAATAATAATAAAAAATATGGTAAGAATCCCAAATTAAAAAAAAATTAATTCTTAAATTGAAAGAAAAAAATTTAAAATCGATCCGACATTTACGTCCCTGCTTTTTTCAAAACGTTTTTTTATTCCCCAACAGGTTTGCCATACTTTAAAAAAAATTTTTAAGCAGGACTAGGTTCCTTAAAAAATTTTCCTCTTTCCTTCTGTAATCTACAGACCCTGCTATTGTTGTAAATACCGTTTTTTTTTTTTAACAAAATTGGGCTTTTCTGAAATGCTTTTTTAAATTCCAACTTTAGAACGGACAGCTAAAATCAAATTTTCAATCGACTTTTATTTTGAAATACTTTTAAAAATTTTCCTACCTTGTTTTAAAAGTTTTAAACGTTTAAGAATTCAACCCCAATTGAACTTTTATCTTTATTTTTTGTTTTGAAGATTCGATAACAATTTAGAAATCAATTAATTACTGAATACTCCGTTAATTAATTTCCGGGCACCGCTAGTTAATAATATCAGGGCGGTATATTTTATGGAATACACAAAATAAAGGAAAAGACCTCCTCTAAATATTTTAAATTTTTTTTAAATAAGTAAAAATCGATTTATCTACGTTAAAGTTAAGTTCTTGTATCTTCTTTTCAAATTATTATTTTATTTTTAATAATACTTTTTAAAAAAAATATTGGGGAAAGCGGCCTAGCGCCCTAAAAATCCTTTCTGCAAGTATTATTGTTGTAGGTGGGCCCCACGATTTTTAGTTATTTAAAAATATGGAGTGCCGAAAAAGAGCTGTTCTTTTTTTTTTTTTTAATGGAGTTGGAACTTTTTTTGCTTTTTTTTTGTTAAATTGTCCGTTAAGTTATGATGCTCCAATTTTGATGTTGAAAATATTTGTAAAATAGTGGAGCACGTAAAAAGTCCTGTACTGTTATGCATGGTTGATATGACTGTGTTTTATATTCTAAAGCGGAATAACTCTAATAAAACTATTTACTAAGATTAGCTCCCTTGAAAATATACTTTTCTTATTGTATATTGTATCTAACTGTTCCATCCTATACAAATTGTATTCAAGTTATAATACATACAAGAAATCTTTGATATACTTCTACGTTTTTGTTACAAAGTTTAATTTAGTATGTTTAATTGATAATGTCATTAAATCGATATGAAAAAGAAATTGTTGTCTATGAAATTTTCAGTTGTATAAATGGATCATTAACTGCATGGATCATGTAGTTGATTGTAAATAACGATATTTGGCAACTGGTTTAATCCAGAAATAAATATTTAATAAAACCTCCAACTTTTGCTTAACTAATACTGGCTTACACATTTTTTGGTGCAAGCGAATTTAATACATTTTCTTAGCTAATTCTGGGAAATATAGTCCAAAAATTAAAAATGTATTTTATTCTATAAATGCTAATAGATATTTTAATAGTTAAAAAAATTAACTATTTATAGTAAAATTTACAATAATGTTCAAATTAATTCTGAATGCTTCCTGCAAAAAACTATGTATGTTATTAAATTCATGATTGCTCAAATACATGGTTTTTATATTATGATTATATATGATGATCATGACAGTGTAATTGTAATGAGTTAAGAATAGAAACAATTTAAAACCTTTAGATATAATCATTTTTCACAATTTGCCTCACACATTTCTGATATAAACTTAAGTTTGCTAGTGATGTGATTTAATTTGTGTGATGTTATGGATGAACGAGGTGAAAGATACTATCATGATATTAAAGTTATGGAAGAATGGTATTAAGGAAGATAAGACAAAATGATAGCTGTCAACTGCTGAATTTTAATATGGAATAAATCTATGAAGCATTCATGAAAATCAAATAAGCAAAACTTCTTCCCTTGACTATCAGTTACTTTGAATATTTGAATTTTAACCACTTATTGTGTTATTTCACATTAAGATTGTGTAGTTTAAATTAAGTCTTCTTTTTTCTTCACTTGTCTCTCTGCTTGACTCTTTCAGCAATATACAAACTGAAAAAATCCCTGAGTGGCAAAGGTTCCAAAAGTAACAGATAAAATAAAAAACTGCCTACAGGGAAAAAGCATTGTTTTTTATAGAGATCAACTGGATATCTTATTCCAGTCAATATGGGTAACATCTCTATTAAAAGGTGAAGTCTCAAACTGGTTGTGAGTTCACTCCCTGTGCTGGGCAGTAAATATTATTTTTCTCTTCAAGCGCAGATTGTGTTTAAGTTTTAAATGACCATTTTTTTTTTCTTTACATTTATGGACACCTAGCCTAATCATGACCAATTTTTTCATAGGTTATGATATTCAGGAGCAAAAAAACTAAAGCCAATGTTGGAAAATGGGTGTTATTTTTGGATTCAGGACACTCAAATTGTTAAAAAAATCTCATGCATCAATTCAAACATTTTTTCTAAGCCTGTGTAATTAATTGATTTTAATTTAAAAGTTAATCAATTGATTTTAATTCAAAAGTTTGTTGTAAATCATTTTTGTATATTTTATTTATGGAAGTATCCCTGTTTATATGTGAATTATTTATTTATCATTTAATTTTCTATTTTGTAATTAGTAAATTAGTTTTAGGAAAGCATATTACATAATCAGTAGTATCTTATATTAAATTTATCTTTGATAGGACCAGGTATTTTATGTTAACATATATGTATATTTTTGCAAAAATTTTTCTTTTAAGCAGGTTTTGTTGAAGACCACAAACAAGGTTAGTCTTAACAATTTTTTTTATTAATTTTCCTGTTTTCATACACAATAATGGATGTTTGATTCAAGTCTGTGTAAAAAGTGAATGATTTAAATTTATATCTTTGTAAGTATAAAAAATTATGACAGGAAAACAAATACATCAAAATTTTCTTAAATTTCAAAACTATAACCAATAATTACATGTTGCTGAAAATAACCAATGATAATTGAAAGAAATAAAGTATATATATTTATATATATATGGACAATTTTCACATACACTAGGATCAAACATCAGTTATCTTGTACAAAATCAAAATAATTTTAAAAAAAAATAATTGTTAAAACCACTATATGATTTTCAGTAAAACTTGTTTATATATATGCAATTAATATCTTTTATTATGTATATGACAAAATATTTTTTGCTATTGACTAAATTCTGTTTTTACACACACACACACACACACATATGTGTGAGCATATGTATATATAATGATATATAGTGATATAATGCATATGTGCATATCATGTCACTGTTTTATTTATTTGTTTTTTAGAGAAACTTCCTGAAATACTACCACCAAAACGGCGTCGACTCCTTAATTTTCATCGTGACTCATTTATGAATGAAAGTTCAGTGGAACGATTCAGGCGAGAGTTCCCTCGACATCACTGGCTGACAGCAAGTGAAACAGGTGAACGAGCAGCAATGATGAACGAGAATGAAGAAGAACATGAACAAGTAGAAGAAGAAAGGATGAATGAAGAAGATGAAACAGAGGAAGGAGATGGAGAAGAAATAGTAGAGAAAAAAGAGGAGGAAGAAGAAGAAGAAGAAGCAGAAGAAGAAGAAGAAGAAGAAACCTTGAAAGAAATAGCAGAAGCAGATGGAGAAAGTTTGATGGAAGAAAAAGAACTTCTGAAAGAAAGAGAAAAAGAAGGTGAAGAAGAAAAAGAATCAGTTCTAGGTGAAGGAAGAACTGACAACATGTTAATAGAAGTAGAACAGATGAAAGACGGTAAAGAAATGATAGAAGACAAAGTGAATGAAAGTGAGGTGGAAAAAAAAGAAGGAACAGGGCAAGAAAAGGATGTGGAAGTAGAACTCACAAGTGAAAATGAAAACATCATCAATCAAAAAGAAAATGTTAAAGAAGATGAAATGAAAAAAAGTGAAGACAATATAGAAGAAGAAGAAGAAGAAGGAGAAGTAAATAAGGATAAAGAAGAAGAAGAAACTTTGAAGGAAGTAGAGGCAGAAATACAGAACAATAATGAGCTTGAGGCAGATGAGAAAAAGAAAGAAAAAGAAGGGAAAGAAAATGAGGAGGAAGAAGAAGTGGAACAAGAAACAGAGCAAGCAAAAAAAGGTAGATTGTTATATATAGATATATATTTTTATTGCATGAAACATTAGTTTTATTGCATAGACATGTTTGAGTAAATGCTCTATGTATAATTATAAATAATTATAACAGAGCACGTTCATGTGTGTGTTTGAAAAATCACCATCTCAATGATCACAATTATAATAAGTTTGTCTTTGTAATTCACCCCTGAGGATGATCTTGGAGGAAATTGAAAGTATTTTGGTAGGAAAAAACTACAGCACCTCCCTTGATGAATTTCATTTTAATATCAAGAAACTGATTAGAGAACTAGAAAGGATTATTATAAAAATATAGACATAATATATCTATATTATTTCATGAAGCATATTTGAATGAAAATATGGTGTCTAAATATATATATATATATATATATATATATATATATTACAATGAATCATTCATACAAAAACTAAATTAGTAAAGTTAATGATATAAAATGGTGAAATCACTTTGCTAACTAAATTTTAGAGATGCATTAACCCACTAATCACTTGAATGTTATGATCCTTGTTTTTTAAAATTATAAACTGCATTAAGTCTTCCTTAAATATGCAAGTACTTTCAATAGTTCCTCTGGTCATCATTAGACATGGAAACTATTTCATTTTTGGTAAAATTCAGGTGGCATCCAAGATGAAAAAATATATTGTAAATTGAAATATTTTTTTTGGAAATGTGTTATTGATAACAGATACAAACTTGTGGAGTGTGCAAATGCTAAGGTTGAATTTTTGAAAATTTAAGTGAGTGTGTTTTTTTACTAATATGCCAATTTAAGAATTTTTTGTTGCACTATATACAATGTAGATAATGTAAGATATTTTAGACAAAGCCAATACTTTAAACTAAACAAATAAGATAATCAACCCTGCCCATCAAAAAAAAAAAATTAATTAAAAAATATAAATAAACAAATTAAGTAAATGATAAAGAAATTACAATTGAACACATAAAAACAAGTAAATGTAATAATAATCATGATGAACAACAAATAATTGAATCAATAATAAATAATAAGTAAAAAGCTAACAAATAACATTATAAAAGGAACCACAATTATTTCTACTCAATGAACTTTAGAATAATTTGAAACATAATTGATACCACCCACCTAGTAACCATCAAGACATACAATATACATTACTATCTATAATGCCCCATTGATAAGCATAATAGTCAAGCCAAAACACAATAAACATTACTTGAAGATTGCATTGAAATATGAAAATAAACAAAAAATATAAGTAAACTAAGCAAATAATAAACAAATAACAAACTATGAATACATACATGAGCACAAGTAAATGTAACAATAATAATCAACAACAAATTATTAAGTAATCAATAATAGATAATAATGAGTAAAAAGTTAATAAACAACTCTATAAAATAGCTACAAATAACTGCATTTGGATCCACAATTATTTCTACTTATGTTATAGTGGAACACACCTATTCTATAGTTAATAGACTCTCCCACCTATAATAAGTAGGAGTTGCTCAGTGAGTTGGTCAGTCAGTCAATGTCGGATGACCGTTAGTTGGATACTCGAACCTATTTTAGGACTGACTTTAATACAAATACAAGCCTCCACTGTGAAATTACTCCATAACAACTTAATAGCTTCTAAAATAATACAATAGACCTTACTACTCATAATAGACCATTGACCAGCATATATAAATATTTGAACAAAAACACAACACAACACACATGGTTAGAAAATTGTATTCCAGCATGAAATAGACTGCCACACTTTGTTGTTGTCCTCAATGTTCACTTTTATATTTACATATTTACTCTATCTCTGACATTGAGCACTTTTACCCATAAATATAGCATACCATAAATCTATATTTTTATCATATATATATATATATATATATATATATATATATATATATATATATGTATATATATATAAAACATTAGGCACATATGATTTACATACAAGAATTAATCACACATTATTACATATAATCCATTAATTCTTTATATATATATATATATATATAAAGAATTAATGGATTATATTTTTAATCTGACATTTTTAGATTACTTCAAACATTATTTTTAGTGGATACCCATATTTGAGTTTCATTTTATTTTAAACAATATTTATTTCATCTACTGGCGTGCACACTTGAAAAAACTTATTAAAGAGAATATGCCCTCCAGCAAGATTCAAACCTGCATTCCTCTTTGCAGGAGAAACCACTGTCTGATCCAGCAAACTTTAGCTGATCGGCTACAGAGAGCTTCACAGTTAAGAAAGGTTCTATTTGCCTTAATGCACATTCATTCAGATTTTCAAGGCTTGTAGATCAAATAAACACTGTCTATAAAAATGGAATGTCTACTCAATTATGGGTATCCACTAAAAATAATGTTTGAAATAATATAAATCTGTATATATTTATATAATCTATATTTGGGCTGCAACCTTTCTTTCAAACATGTTTCATTGAATATGACAAAGAAAATTTGATGAATAGTTTTTCTAATATTCTTAAATGAAATGTGAGGTCTCTGCTCAAGGAAGTGGTGGTATGACAACCTTTTAATTTTGATAAAAAAATAAGGAAATAATTATAAATCTAAAATCAATTTAAAAAAAAAAATCTGCACTAAAATTTACATGCAACCTCATGGTTAATAACAAAATCCCATTTCTTGATGTTGATATAGAACTAAAATCGAAAGTATTTACCACCTACCCATATAAAACCCCACCAGTACAGACTCTTGTCTTCTAAACTATGATAGACAATGCCCTGAAAGATATAAAATAGCAGTGATAAAAAAATGCCCTAAATAGAGCATACCTAAATTCTTCCTCTCAGAGAATATTTCTGAGTAAATTCAAACACATAAAACAAACATTAGTTAACAATAATTTTCTCAACTACATCATGGATAATCAAATAAAATTATTCTTACAAAAATACATGACACCAGTACTAAAAATACAATACAACAAAACATCAACATATTTTACTGCAACCAGATGCGCAATAATTACAAACAGGATGAATTTGCCATACAACGAATCATTAAACACCATATTTATGCCATAAATCTAAAAAAAAAACATGTAAAACTGCCCACCTAACCATCACTAATCAAAATAACCCTATCAAATCTAAACTAGCAATAACTAATTTAGTATATCAATTTAACTGCCCAGTACAAGACCTTGTTTCTTGTCATAAATCAATTAGCTATATTGGTCATGCTACCACCTCCTTGAGCAGATGCCTCATGTGTTACTTAAGAATATTTGAAAGACTATTCGTCAAATTTTCTTGTCTGCCATATTAAATGAAATATATATTTATTTTATATATATATAATTATTTGACTTGCCATTACAAACTTTATTTGCAGAATTCTTTTGGAAGTTGAAAATCAGTGCAAAAATTCTGTTAGTTTATGTATATTTTATTTTATGCAAAGTTGATATTAGTCCTTAAATTTGGTAGTATTTCTTATACTTTCATTTATTATTCAAGTAGATCTATATTAAGAATGTTCTGTTCAATTGTTCTTTGAATGACTGTTAGGTTTTCCTCTCTATAGCCTACTAAAAACATTTTTAGGAAAAAAAACTGTCTCTTACTCTGATAGGGTCATAAAAATAAATTCAAAATTCTATTGCTTTTTCTGTAAGTAAATATTTCCTATTCTTAACATAAAAACAATGGGGATTATTATGATAGGTAATCTCTCTGACAGATATAGTCACATCAAGAGAAGATAACTCTCCAATAAGTATAGTAATACTGCCTTTTATGCAGTACCTCATTTACATATCACTACAGGGATCAAAGAGAATGAAAGAGAAATCAATAATAAACTTCACATGTATCATGCCTATTCAGATCCCCATGTGACTGCATTAGGCATAACTGAATGGCATTTGTATTCTTCTTTATCATTATAATTTTTTTACTTTTTACTATTCTTAATCTTAGATATTCAAAGTACAAACTTCAGTTGGTTTTATCTGAATTAAGATTCAACTGATCATTGATCACTGATGCTACATCACTTGCTTACATCTGAATCAATAGCAAAATCCTATAAATAACATATATATATATATATATATATATATATATATATATATATATATATATATATATATATATATATATATATATACCTCAAAAAATTCAGTATACCTAAGTTTTAAATGTACTTTTCATAAAGGAAAAATCCTTTTTGAAGCTTTCCAACCACTAAAGGATTAAATTTTCTAATTTCAGAAAAAAAAAAAAAATACTGTGGAGTATTTCAAATTGAAATTTGAAGGATTTTTAGTTGATGCTTCTGAATAACCAATCAAAATAGCCATTTTTAACTTTTTTTAGAGAAATGTAAACAAACTTATTTTTCAGTTTTTAAAATCCTGCTAAAATAAGATATACATTTCTGAAATGTTACTTTCATAAAATTAGCAAATATATATATATATTGTTTTTTTTTTTTCTTGAATGGGTCTTTTCTTCTTCCTCTTTCTCGTCTTCTGTTTTAATTTATACATAAGGTCAGTAAATGCTAACCAGACAAAAAATTTTCATATATACATCAACAGGCTAGATTTTAAATTTGGATCATATAATCTTTTATTGTGTCTAATTTCACCACAAATTTATCCACATGTTTCCGGTGTCTGTTTTTTTTAATTCTAGGTCAGCGAATCGATAGTGATTTATGCATCTGAGAATAATTCATATTTATTTGTATTTCCCTCATTTAAACAGTTATTTAACTTCTCTCTTTAAAACTTCTCTTTTTCAAATTTTATTCCCCACTTTCACCTTTAGGCCTTTCCTGTTCTTCTACTTCTTCTGTTACATCCCCTCTCTAGAACTGTCATACATTTCCCTCTCACACTTGTTCCCACTCCCACACATACACTCACACTGAAATTTTGTTTTTTTATACCCGGATTTATATTTTTCAATTTCGTTTTGAATTTGTAGGACTAATGAATTGGATCATGATTATGATTCCAATGTTATAAACTATAACCATAGAATATTAGTGTTTGAGCTTTTTATATTATATTCTTGCTGTCCTGGACATTGATCTCTACCTGGATTCTATCCTCTTGAAATATATATACATATATATATATATATATATATATATATATATATATATATACTGACCGCTAATATTATCTATCTTTATATATATATATATATATATATATATATATATATATATATATATTATTATTATTATTATATTAGATTACAATACAAACATTTTCCATTGCTACTAAAAAAGCTTTCATGTTTGATTATTAAGATTGTATTTCTTCATGTGATGGTAGATAACTTGTGGTAAAAATGATTTATTAGGATTGTTACCTCTTTTCAGAAGTTAAGGTGGGGCATAAGGTCAGAATTAAAAAATATACTGACTATGAACTGTAGATTTTTACTCCATCTGTTCTTTCTTATTTGTGTGTATATATATATATGTGTGTGTGTATATATATATATATATATATATATATAGGTAGCATATCTTCATTCAAGCATTCTTCATTGAAAAATATAGACATATTTATGTCTATTTATTTTTATAATAATCCTTTCTAGTTCTCTAATTGGCTTTTTGATGCTAAATTGAAATTCATCAAGGAAGACACCATAACTCATGTACTTTGATCTCCTCTGAGATCATCTTCAGGAGTGAATTGTGAAAACAAACTTAATGTAGCTGTATTCATTGTGATGGTGATTTCTGTAAACATGTGTGAACATGTTCTGTTATAATTATTTTAAGCCTCCTTGGTGTTCTACTCTTCTAACACAATTGAGTCATCACCCACTTTATTACAATTAAACTTACAATGATTCCTTGAAATAACGTTAGCTGAATCTACTAGGAAAACCTTTTTAAGAGAGAAAAAAGAATTGGTTACGACTTGAACAGTACATTTAACTTTTATAAAAATTTAAAATTTTTCTTTTTCAGTTCATGAAAATGAAAGTGAAGTGGGCAAAGCAGCTGTTGATGCCAACAGTAAAGAAATAGAAGGTTAGTTTATATGCATACATATGTGTTTATATGTATACATATGTATTTCACATATATAACTCTAGGCATAAATAAATATCTATAACATTCTCTTTTTCTCTCACTCTCTATTTCACTTGCTATCTATATATTTCCTTTTTATTCATTTCTAATACATAATACTATCTCTCTATCTTGTTCTGTCCCTTTCACTCTCTGTTTCTTTTATTCAGTTGCTCTATTTTATCCTGTCCTTCACTCACTCATTCACTTACAATCTATCTCTTTCTTTCTCTCAGTGTGTTTGTATCTATTTTTATCTCTGCTTCATATACAGAAATACATGCTCTGCTTACATGTTTCCAGATAATTGTTTATCTATAAATAATGCAATGAAAAAATTGCAATAGAAAATCTAAAACCCGTTCTTCTTCTTCTATGTGCCGTGTCCCTTCAGGTTGTGGGTGATCTTGGTTCTCCACTACTTCCTGTCCTTTGTAGCTCTTAGTAAGGTTTGTCTTTTTGCTATCTCTTCTAATCCCTGTTCTGAAATCCATTTACACAAGATCATTAGGTAGGCCATCCACTGCTTTCCTCTCTGCCTCTTGCCTTCAATATGTTCTGTTTGTCTCAAATTCTCCAAGCCATCTTTCCTCATTATATACCCTAGAAATTTCATTTGTCTCTTTAGTATTCTAAGTATATATCCTTTTTGTTTTCATTTTCCCTAAAACTTTGTCGTTGCTCACATGTTCCGTTCATGGTATTCTCAGCATCCTTCTTTAGAGCCACATTTCTGTTGCCTCAAATCGCTTCTTCATCTGTGAGGAGATTGTCCAGCATTCACTTCCATTCCACATAAGAGTTCAGTACACTTTTCTTGGTTTCTAACAAAATTGACAAATTTAACTGAAGGTAATATTTTGACTCTTTCTTTGTTTAATTGGTTCTGAAGCTTAGTTAATCACATGCTCTAAATGAAACTTGACTTTTTTACCTATAAAGATCTATTCTTCAATTACTTTAGCCACTGGAATTCTTACAGACAATCTAGAAGAATTCAAATGTTAACTTTCACTGTACTTTCACTATAAAGTATGCTTAGTGTAATATATATTGCTGCAGAAGAGGAAATTGACAAGCCAAATTTAAATTTTGGCCTAGTCTTTTGTTTCCTTTTGCACAAATGCCCTTGGGAATCTATTTTTTCTCCCTCTATCTATGGGTTAAATAATAGAACAGACTGGCTTTTCTATCTTTGGTGGCCACCAGTATAGCAGAAAGACAACTCTCAATTTAAAAACAACCTGAAAAGGGATAAATTCCATCACTTCACTGCTATGGTTTCAGTACACGTGCATCTATAACCATGTTATGTGTTAACAAAACTCATGATTGTGATTGTACTTCATATTTTGTTTGCTTTGATCTTACTGTATACTTATTATGAGGAAGCACTAAATTTTAAATAGCTTCATAATTTTGTACACAGTATAAGTAGTCTGTAAAATATTGAAGAAAAAAATTACTAAAAATTTAACTAGTATACCTATAAGAATATTAACTTGGCACTGAAGAAGATTATGATTTTTAAGATTCCTAAAACGAAAATTATCAGTTTTCTAAAAATTTTAACTTAATTATATAAATTGTTAACAAATCAAATGAAAGAAGATTTGTATACTGTTTGATAATTTGGAGAATTAAATTACTAAGGACAGCAAACCAACTGTTTACAAATGTAAAATAACTGTTTGTTTTGAAAGTTTTTTTAACCCTTTTTTTGTCTTTTTTATTATCTATGATGTTTTCATTATTTTTTTCTACACATATCCTTAAGTCTGTCATTTTTAATTATTTCATATTTTTTTCACTTTTTCTTTAGAGATACATTTATTATTCTCAACATAGCCTTTTATGTACTTTATTTTTCCTCTATCAAATCGGCAGATTTACATTTCATTTTAAAACATTTCCTATGTGCAAATGTTATTGATTTGTTCACAGATATTTTTTTTTATTTTAAGATTTTATTAGATGTTAATTTTTTTCAAATTAACTACAGCATTTCTAAGTATGAGGGTTGCCATGGTAACAAATTTTTCCTTAAATTTTTTTTAGTTGTTTCGATAAATCTCATAGAAAGCAAAATGTTAACAAGAAAGTAAAAAAATTAAACTTCCAAATGGCTTTCATATATTTCATCTTACATGCTATTTTTGAAATCTTTGTCCCAAGTGCTATTAGTAGTACTGTTGTCATAAGCTACTAAGAAATTAGCTTGATTTTTATTGAGTAGACAAGAAAAGTAACTTTTACTTAAAAAATCTAGCCCTCATACTTATGTGCCATATTCTTGTATATATCTAATAAACATTTTGGTATATAATAAATCTAACTATTTTTATACATTGATAATAAGTGGTTAATTTGTATGCCAAATCATCTATATTTTGTCTTGAATAAGGTTTATGTAAATTTATCACAGATCTTAATCCCTCATAATGTAATACCTTTGCAACTATTACTGTTTTAAAAACATTCTATAAATATAATAGATTTCATGATGCATAGAAATTATAAAGTAAGTCTATACCAAATGATCATGGGAAACAATTTTAAAATGATAAAAATGAAGATTAAGAATCAAAATTGTAAGTGAAATCATAAAAACCATTGATGGGAAAAAATACAAGTTTTTATTACATTACTTAATATTTAATGAATGCTTTGAACTTTTACTCAGCTATTTTTCTATTTACACTCTGCCTCTATGTTTTTTTGAACAGGAGTAGAGGTTTAGCCCCTGTTTTCTGCTTAAGATTGGGTTTCTGTTTCCTTCTAAAATCTTTTTAATTCTCTTTCACTCCCAGTAGTCCCTTACATCTTAGTGGCATTATCACTTTGTTTGAAGTGAATTGATTTAAAAAAAATGTTGCTAATTTTGGATTCCAAAAGTAATATTTAAAATGTTCATGTAACTCTGGAAATTGATACCTGGTTTCTGATCATAACTAACAATTTGATTTTTGTTAAAATGCAAATTTTATTTTTAATGTATAGAGAAATTATATAGATTCATAAATATGGGTATCTCAACTTCATTTACAAAATGTTAATCTAGAAATATCTGGCACTAAATAATAATAAAAGATTTTCAAGTTTCATGAGAAAGTCTTGGGAACTTTTATCTCATCAATCAATATATAATTCAAGTTGTGACCTTGTGCTATAGAAAGCTAAAGCTCTAAAAGGGAAAAACACAAAATAAAATTTAATGATTATACTATTTTACCAATTAACCAGCAGTATTCTGATAGCTGTTCCACAGATATTTAGGATTAATATTTTGTAAAAGTAACACTCGTAAAAAAAAAAAATTAAGTTAATATAAGATTATCAGTAGTGATGATGAGCCAGAACTGCTTTTTTATTTAATCCCTCTTTTTTTATGAAGATGAACAGGCATTTATATTTGTTACTGCTACAGGCATTTATACTTGTTACTACTACAGGCATTTACACTTGTTACTACTACAGGCATATATACATGTTACTACTACATGCATTTATACATGTTACTACTACAGGCATTTACACTTGTTACTACTACAGGCACTTATACTTGTTATTACTACATTCATTTATACATGTTACTACTACAGGCATTTACACTTTTTACTACTACAGGCACTTATACTTTTTACTAGTACTGGCATTTACATATGTTACTACTACAAGCATTTACACTTCTTACTACTACATGCATTTAATTTTTTACTACTACAGGCTTTTACACTTGTTACTACTACAGGCATTTATACTACAGGCATTTATAGATGTTACCACTACAGCCATTTACACTTGTTACTACTAGAGGCATTTATACTTGTTACTACTACAGGCATTTATAAATGTTACTACTACAGGCATTTATAAATGTTACTACTACAGGCATTTATACTTTTTACTACTACAGGCATTTACACTTGTTACTACTACAGGCATTTACACTTGTTATGATACTACTACAGTCATTTACACTTTTTACTACTACAAGCATTTACACTTGTTACTCGTACAGGCATTAATACATGTTACTATATACAAGCATTTACACTTTTTACTACTACAGGTATCTATACATGTTACTACTACTGGCATTTATACATGTTACTACTATAGCCATTTATACTTTTTACTACTACAGGCATTTACACTTGTTATGTTACTACTACAGGCATTTACACTTGTTACCAGTACAGGCATTTATATATGTTACTACTACAGGCATTTATATATGTTACTACTACAGGCATTTATACATGTTACTACTACAAGCATTTACACTTGTTACTACTACAGGCATTTATACTTGTGACTACTACAACCATTTACACTTGTTACTACTACAGGCATTTATATTTGTTTTAGAAGCCACCGATAAGGTTAAAAATCTATAAAAGAATCAAAACATTTCATGAAACAGCTGTACTACATACTAATCCACAAGTATCCTCTGAATCTGGTCTAGAAAAGTAGGTGCTATCAGGTGCCTGAATGTAAAATTTATACCCTATTTGGAAATCTATTTTAATGCTTGTTTTTGGAATAAAGAGTGTAATTAAATAGTGTTGTACTTATATTGCATTCTTTAGAAACAAAATTTACAAATTCTACCCCATTTGGAAATCTATTTTGATATATGCTTTTTCAAAAACTATGTTGTACTTGTGTTGCATTCTATAGAAATTATAAATTGTACATCATTTAAAAATCATAAAAATGATTGACAGAAACCTTTTTTTTTTTTCTGAAATTTTTTTGTTTCTATAATTGATCCATTTTGATTGCTTAACTATGCATGCATTTATTGAATTTATATAGATATTATATGCAAATATATATATATATATATATATTTTTTATCAGTTCCAAATGGTCTCCAAACACAAGAAAATCAAGAACCAGATGCGAAGGAAAAGGTTGTAAAAGAAAGTGAAAGAAACAAAGAGAAGGCAATGAAAGAGAATTTCATTGAAGCAGTCGTGGATAATGAAGGGATTTTTCGATCATTTGAGAGAGCAAAGAAAAATGAAGGGATTTTTCGTACATTTGAAGGAACAAAGAAAAGGAATGAAAGAATTTTTCGTTCATTTGAGGGAACAAAAGAGAAGAAAAAAGAGGAGGAAGAAGAAAAGAGGAAGAAGGAGGAGGAAGAAGCAATTGAAAGAGCTAAAGAGAATGAAATTCGAAAAAGACTTGGACAAGGAGAAAGGTGAGTTTGTACAACAGATTTCAAACAGAAATTTACTGAAAAATATACATTTGTATACAAAAGCAATTAAATAAGCTATTGAAATAATCAATTAAAAGTTATATGTTATTTAATATTAATAATACAAAAAACACTGTGAAAATTATGAGAATTTAACATATTTTTCAGACTAGCTTTTTGCCAAAAGGCACACAATAGATTAACTATATGTATAATATTCAATAAATCAATAAAATTTTAATCAAATCTGACCAATTAAAGAATTTTGTGTTGAAATGCTCATCAAACATCTAACCCTGATGAGTGTTTCAACATGAAATTCTTGATAACTCACCTGAACTTTTCTTGATTTATTGAATATTGGGATATTTATGTAGAAATTTTCTAATAGAATATAGTTTAGCCTTATAAACAATGATCCTGGAGGAAACTTCACATTTTTTTCAACAGTAATTTTAGAAGCAGGGCTGATGATCAAAAGAAACACTAAATTTATCTTGCTGCCTTTTCTCTTCCACTCTTAATCTGTTTAACTAGTGAGTTCATCTGAAAGATCTTGCAGCACCAAAAAAGGATTGTCATTTAAAATTGCAAGTGTTGTGGGTTGTTTTTTAGGAATCACTGTATCTGTTTCATGATATCCTCTTGGTTATATTGCCATGGGGCTAATTTACTAAGCAGTAGGCTTTTTGAAAGTGAATAATCTTTCATTTTTTTTAGCTGTGGGTTGTTCTGGTGATATGTTGGCCTTGTCTGAATATACTTTTTTTTTTTATATATGTAATTTCGCTTGGGGGGTTAAAAGGATATCATCAGCCCACAACAGAATTAATAAAAATTACAAACAAATCATATAAGAGATACAACACAGTAAGCATAGACAAAAACAATAAAATGCTTTAGTATACATTTCAGAGAAATGATTGCATATTTTAAATAACATGCGTATATGGAGATAAATAGGTTGTGCTTGATAGCAGTATGTTCTATGAAACAACAGTCCTTCACATCTGCATACTTTGGCTGTCAAAAACAAAAAGAGAGAAAATTTTGTTTCAATTAGCAATAAAATGCTAGTTCTGATGTATTATAGAAGTATTCTATATTTATTTAACAACTTTTTTATAATCTAAATTTTTCTTTCTTTATTGTTAATTACAATTCTTATCTGTATTTTAAAGTATTTTTATTGCTTCACTTTTAATTTTTCTTTTATTATTAATTATTTTGGTTCCAGGCTACTACATAGTTTAGTAATAAGTGTTGGGATTTATTTAGTAATTTATTTGTTGCTATCACTACATTATTGCTCTAGATGTACATAGTCTACTAAATGCTTGGTTTAATTTTGCCACTTTGTTGTTACTTTATTTGCCAAGCTTGACATATGTGAATATGACACACCACACTAGGTAAACTCCTGAACTATGTCCAACTTAAGTAAACCAATAATTAAAAAAGGCCAATAATACTCTTGATAGGGTTTAGGTTAATGTAGGACAGTTTTCTTCAGAGTGATTTCCAAACTGGAAAATGCCATAATCTTTGCAAAGCTGGGTGTGACTTATAGAGTTTGCTCTCATTGGGTGACTAGAGCCATGTTATTTGTGAAAAGAAGTTATCTCACTAGTTTTATTGTAGTTACACTATGAATCTAAAGTTGCCTTACATTGAACAGGTTGTCGTTTCAATGTATTTAGATGTTCATGTTTCATTGCCCATCATAAATCTTCTTTGAGACCTATTTCATGCTAAAGAATTTTAAAAACAGTGTTGGGACCAGAAAAACTTTACATGAATACTAATTAAGTCAAATTGTATAAAGTGTTGCAAAGTTAGACAACAATACATTGAACTATTTTTCCTTCCTCCACTTGTAAAGATGGATTCAGCTGGATGACATATGTGTATCATAATAAGTAAATATGTTGTGCAGTTGTGGTATTGCAGCTGTGGCAGATATGGGATGCAAACAAGATTTAACAATGTTAGACTGCGGAATGATTGCAGGGGCCAGAAAAATGGGATATACTACCTCCAAAGGAGCAAATGCTCTAATTTTCTTTTCCTCAGGCAAGGGTAGATTAGGAATATGTCCATCAGCAGCACAAAACTGTGGGCACCCACAGGTAAGGCAAAAATCAGAACTATTGGCAATTGACAAGGATGTCCACTTCTCATCAAATATGGCTTCTTTCTCTCTCAGTCATCCACAGGAAGACTTATATAACAAGGTGGTAAGATATTATTGGCTAACTACATAAATACTTAATTTATAAAAAATACAAACAACTAGATCCACGTAATAGACATTACTTCAAACAACCAATTTTGGAGAGTGCATATACTTAACAGTAACACCTGAGGAAACACTGCACCAAGTCATATTAACTCTGATAGCATTCAACATATAGTCTACACCAGTGCTACTCAAAGTGGTGATCTGCTGAATGGTGACAGTACACAAACCATCAACCACTAGTATGCAGCCAGTGTCCAGGCCATGCCAAGGAATCATTTGAAACTTCTTTTTTTTTTTATTACTTTTTATATGCTTTGATATTGAATTATTTTTGAAAAATAAATGGAAGATAAAAAATAGTAAATTTTTATTATATTCATTATATATATTGTTTCTGGAATAAATTAATATTACCATGAAATATTACAGGTACATGATACATTGAGAAAAAATGCTGGTTTGCCATATCAGATAGTTTGAGAAGCACTGGTCTACGCTATATACCATGAGGTTTTATAGTTGTCAACAAGTTAGTGATTATTACTGATGCCACAGTATCAATTACTACATCTGACTTGGGTCAAAGAAAATCACTCTACTGTAGAAAACTTACATCCCAATTTAGCTGAATAATCATAATAAAGAATTTAGGGAGATAACCAAAATTTTCCAAAGACTTAATCTGCTTATAGTTTTAAATGTGTTTAGCAAAGTTAACAAAGGTAAAATATAATCTCTTATTTTGTTCCTTATTTTGGATTTTTTTTTAATAAAGGTTAGTTTATATTCACTATATCTGTTCAAAAGCTAAATATACTTGAAAATGTTGTAAACTGCTTAATTGGTATATATACTTTTAGTATTTGCAAAAGGTTATAGTAGAATAGGTGCAACAGTTTATTGATATGGAAAGTGGAATTGGCAAGCTAATTCCAATATTCCAGCTTAGTTTATTCTGTTCACTTTCACACAAAAGACATTATGAAAGGCAGGAATCCATCTCCCATTTTCACTCCAGTTATATATTAAATAGTAGTGTAGGTTCGACTTCCAAGCCTTGGGTAACAATCAGTCTAAACGAAGGAAAATTCTGAAATCCAAAACTGTGGAGAAGTAGTGAAACCACTCCATCATCTTTCACAAGAAGTACGGTAATTCACAAATGATAAAAGAAAAGGGAACTGTGGAGAGTCATAATTGCCTATTGTGAAAGAACATGATATTTATAAAGAAAAAAATTGTTACTTTGAATAATTTGCTGAAAAAAAGGAGCATACCATGATGAAAAATGCTCCAAGCTTGAAAAAACAGTTTTATATTCAAAATGTTTCTGTTATTATTAGGAGGAAAGACGAAGATATTTTTTGATTGTTTTATTAAATTTTTTACATCCTTTCTAGCATTTTCAAAATATTGCTTAAAAATTTTGCTTTTCTTGTATCAACAGGGGATGAGGGTTCAAAGATTGATATAAGAAACTATAGCATATTTTTGTGGTAAAAAAACACATTAATTTGGAGATTCTTATAAAAATCAAATAATTGTCAGATTTTAATGAAATTTTCAGGACTCATTCACAAATGTATTTTAGAGTAGGACTCAGCATACTTCCTGCTCTTCTCTACTACTGTGACAATGAACTGCCCCTACTTATAAATATGGCAAGTAGCTACATTAGTGTAGGATTTGAGTAGTATATCCATTCTATGTATGAGTATTTAATAAACCTCTTCTTGGTTTCCTCTACCTAGTCTTCTGTTCCTTCAATACTCTCTCTAACTACAACCTTCCTAATTCTCGTCTATTCTGACATTACAACAAAATGAATGAAATTATTATTTTATTTTATTTTTTTAATGAAATTATTTTTTTTTTTTTTTAAATTTTGATAAAAATTTTTTTACATCTGTTACACCCAACTTATTTAATTTTATTTCACCTCCTTCATATTTATATTAATTAAAGCAGGACTCTTTGGAGAATATAAATCATCAATTTGTTTTGTAAAACAGAAACATCATTTACTGAAAATCTACTTTAAATCATAAAATAAAAAATGCAATTTATATATATAAGATATATTTGAGGAGACTACTGTCTTAAGAAAAACATTTTTTTGATGAATAATAAATTTTTACAAGAATTGTTTACATTTTTAAATTTTAATTAGAATAATTTATTAAGTTTTTAATTTTTTTAAATTCTGTATTAATTTCACCCTTTTAGATGATATTATTAAGTAAAAACTATATTTAATAATCATAAATAAAGCTTAGTACAAATCATAAAACAGCAATATTTTAAAAAGAATTTGAAGTTTTTTGTATGTATATAAATGTGCCAATTTTTGGAGATATGGTTGTTCATACATAAGATTATAAGAAAATAAGAACAATAAGTATAGTAAACTCTAGTAAACCAAGATATCTAAAATTCAATAAAACATTAACTTAGGGAAAATTTTTTCCTGAATTTTTAAGATTACTGAATACTTAAAAATTATACATAAAAAAATGCTCACATTATATTATTCAATTATTTTTTTTACAGATAAAGCCCCCATAGAACAACATTAGAAAAACATCCATCTGTCATCCAGCTGTCAACATCCTAAGAGCTTAAATAAACAGCTACCACTGTATTAAAAATGCATTGCTGTGATATTTTAAACAAAATAAATGATATTTGTTTCAAATCAGATTAATTATACTTTAAATCAGATAATATTTCTCAATTAAAGTTTCAGAAAAGTATATTTTATTTTTGGAAGATTTTTAAAAAGGAAAATTACATTCTGATGACTGATAGCTAAAATGGCACCAAAATCAAAAATTTCAGCAGTTCCAAAATGAAAACTCCTTCCAATCAATTTAAATTAGTTTGAAAAACAGCAAAGTATTGCTTATTGGAAATATTAAATTCAGTCTCTTAGCTTGAAATTAAAACTAAAATAAAAGCTTCAAGAAAGGTTTTTCATTTTTAAAAATTCATTTTAAACCTTAGGGTATTGTGAATCTGTGGGGTTACATACCATGATATATCTTATTCATATAAGCATTTAAATGATTTTCTAATTAAATAATGTTTTGGCTTTATTGCATTTTTATTTTACAGTACAGAGCAGATTTTTGGTAACTGGAGATCCTGTTTAAAAAAAAAAATTGATGATTTAAATTCTCCAAGGAGTTCTACTTTTTTAACTAATTAAGTTGATACAAAAAATTAAAAGTTTTAAATTTATATATTCTAATTAAATAAGTGGATTAGGTAACAGATATAAAAAAAATGCATTTTTAACAAGTTTTCTAAAAAAAAAAAAAAATAAATTTTTAAATTTGATAAAGATATTTTCATTCATTTGTGAATAGATCCTGAAAGTTTCATTAAAATCCTATAATTATTTGATTTTTACAAGAATTTTCAAATCAATGTGTTTTTTTTTATCACAAAGAGATGCCAAAATTTCCTATATTAATCTTTGGTCCTCCACTCCACGCCACTGATGCAAGAAGAACAAGATTTTTAAGCAAATTTTAGAACGTTCTAAAAAGGATGAAAGAATATAATTTAATAATCAAAAAAAACAAAAGGTCTTTCCTCTTAATAAGAACAATTTAATTATAAATCTATGTTTATATTGTGTTTGGGGCATTTTTCATCATGGTATACTCATTTTTTAGTGACTTAGTGGAGGTACCTAAATGAAACTAAGACATTATTTAATTAGAAAAGCTATTAATTGCTTATATGAATAAGATATATTATGGACACTATTTTTTTAAGAAAAAAATATTTTCAATAAATAATAAATTTTTACATGAATTGTTTTAAATTTTTAAAAAATTTTAATTAAAATAATTTATGGTTTTAAATGTTTTAAAATTCTGTATTAATTTATACCTGGTAAGTGATATCGTTATTAAGTAAAAACTATATATACTAATCATAAATGGAAAAAAATTACTACAAAATTAGCAAAAAATATTTAAAAAAAAAAAATTTTAGTTTTTTTTTGTATGTTTATAAACGTGCCAATTATTGTACATAATTAGGTTCCAAGAAAATTTGTATTTTATATGAATACTACCTTATTAAAACTGAGATGTAGTAGAGGGTGGGTATTGCACTGGCCCTGCTGGTAATCATAGTTAAAATAATTATGATTGTAATAAATAAATACTTTCTTGGTAAAGAAATAAAATAATGCCTTTGAAAATATTTTAACTATGATAAAAAATTGTTATTTCTGAATAACAGAATTTACAAATAAAGTTAAATGTAGTAAAATTTTTCTATCAAGTCTCCTGACTGAAACTCAGAGTATGGACAGATAAGTGAACATTTAATTTTATTCATTGCTATTAATGCTAATACAGTTTCTTGATCATGAGAAGTATAATTACAAAAATTGTTTACCTTAAAAACATCTAGAAATACTTTAGGTGACTGATTTTTTTGTGATCAACAGAATGAATGAAAAGGAATTTTTTTACAAAATTTTTATATGACTCACTGTATTAAATTGCTTATTGCTATTTTTTATCTGAATTTTTTAGATAAGTTGATACTATTATACAATGATTCATTTTTACCAGTTCCTTCATCTTTGTTGTGTTTATTACACTATAGCTGCTATCATCTCTAACATTCAATCTATGGAATTTTCTGTAACAAATATATATTGAAACTATTATAAATTGATTCATTCTGTTAATTTTCTACATTCTTGCTGGCTTTATTAGAATATTTCAGCCACTATACTTTCCAGCATTCCTTAGAGATTTGAATGTTGTAAAGAACATTATTATTTGACTCTTAATGGTTTGTTGTCCACTTAGAAATAAGCCATAAATAGAACCAAAATGAAAAAGTTGTTCCAAATAAGCCTATGGATAATAGTTATTGCCATTGTAAATATAAGTAAGAGAAATCAAAAGAAATTTAGACAAAACTTTTAAAAAATAGTTAAAATAATGGTATTTTTATTCTTTCATAAAATACTTTAAATATATCATGAATTTTAATATCAGTTTTGATATCAAAACTAATATTAATATCAGTTTTGATAATAATCAAAATATATTTATAAATAAAGAAAGAAATTATAAATATAAGATATAAAGCAATTATGAAACAGTTTTGAAAATTCTTTTTTATGGTAGTAAATTTAAAAACTCTATTTAAGACATTTAACATTATCTAGTTTATCTTGATAATGTTAAATCTTTAAAGACATTTAACATTATCAAGTTTTCCAAATCAGAAATATTAAAATAGTTTTATTTCTTTTTTATTTTCTATAGTTCCTTGCGAGAGATATTTGAAATCTCAAGACGTCCGGGGACATCACATGACCTAAAAAGAACCAGCCCCTTGCATTTCCTGCATTTCTGTTAATTTATCAAAATTATTATTACCCATATTATACAAATTATAAAAAATGGAATTTATTAAAACCACCACCACCACCAAACACCACCAAATCACCAACACTATGTGTAACAACCATAAGTAATGAAATATTTGGGCTCCCTACAAAACCAACACCAATCCATTTAACTATGTTTGGACATAAAATTCTAGCACATATCCTCGTTTTTAAAACAGTCACCATCTACCTGCAAAATCAACAGCCAACGCCCATTTGAATCTTCAGGTCAAATGAAAATTTTCAATGGGATGACATTTAAAGAATTTAATTATTCCAAAAACCCTTTGGCAATTTTTTTTTTTTTTTAAAAAAGGAGGCTTCAAATTGTTATTCCTTAATTTCCTCCAATTTTTTTACTTTAATGCTATTTTCAAATATTGCAATATAAGTAATTCTCAACAAATTTTATTAATAAATTAATATTAATAATAACAATTTGTTATTAAAAAAAAATAATAAAATATATTGTTAATAAAAATAATAATAATAATAACTCAACTACAAAGTGGTATACAACACCAAGGCTGCAACAAGTTCAGCATGTGCAGCAGCAACAGAGAACCCAGAATGCAATGCACACATCACCCCTTATAGACTTAACATCAGGTGAAGCTTTAAGAGTGCAGCAAGCAATTGCACGCAGGGCCCTATCTAGGAAAGGAGGAGGAGGAGAAAGAGAAAGAGTATTAGTAGCAGATCCTCTCTCTGTTGGGGTATATCCAGGTGGACGTGTTTTGGACTTTTAACAGGTGGGAGAAAAAATTATCAAACAGTGGTTCATCATTATATTCTATAATGCATCATCAGGAATTGTTTCACTAATTTAAAAATTATACTAGTAGTAGCTTATCTGGACAACCATTCACAACTAGTACTGCTAACAACAACAGTGAAGGAGTTCTTAACCTAAGTAGCAAAACCAGTGGCATATATAATATATATAAGTACAGCCACAGCTCACCATTTTATAGAAGGACTGAGGCGGCATCTTGATGCTCTAATTGTGTGCAACATACATTGGGAGGCATCCATCTTCTTTCTGCTGCTGCTGCTGGGTACATCTTTCCACTAGACTTATATAAAATTGAAAAATTCCACTTTATCCTGCTGCTACCACAGCAGCAACATATTTATATTTATGGATTATATATATTTTAGCCAATATGGCTGCTGTAACATCTACAGCAGCACCAACAATAAATCTATTATATAAAACATCACAGTATATATATTCATATATTTAAATTGTAAAATTATCAATAAGTGTAAATATATATTTGAATAATATATGAAAGATTTTTATCATTCATATATATATATATATATATATATATATATATATATATATATATATATATAGATAGATATATGAAAAATATTCTATTTTAAATTGTTTATAATATTTTGGAATAAAGTGCTCAATATTAAATATGTAAATATAAAGAAAACTGAACATTGAAGTAAACATTCTGAAGTGATGGATATTTCATGCTAATGCAGTCATACAGACCTGATGATTGCGTCTAGCATGAAACATCCGTATATATATATAGTGTTATTACTTCAATGTTCACTATATAAATATATATATATATATATATAAATATTCTTATATATATAAAGAAAAACATGTTTCCTTGTGTACATATATATATATATATATATATATATATATATAAAGAGAAAAGGAAAACTTATCTTAGCCAACATGTTTCATTCATGTCAGGATTTTATTTAAAATAAAATCTTTACATTTGCTTTGAAAAAGTCCATCAGAGGATGAATCATGTCATCTAAGTTTGCTTTTTGTCTTTATTCATATTGTGTTTATACACATATATTTTTAGTGACATCTGAATTTTTACACACACACACACACACACACACATATATATATAATTGTGTATTTGGGCAGCAATCCCTCTTTTATACAAGTTTCATTAAAAATGACTGACAAGGTACTGCAATTAAGCTTATTCAGTTTTTCTTGTGTCCGTATAAGTGATTTCTTTTTTGGACATAAAGTGTTTTCTAATGAAGTCATGGCTATTTTATTTATTCATCCAACAGATTTTTATCACGTTAAACATTATTTTTAGTGGATACTTATATTTCAGTAGATGTTCCATTTATTTATTAAGCAGTATATTTATTTATTTTTGCTTACTGGTCTGAATATTTGAGAAATCTTATTAAAGAAAAATATGCGCTCTCCAGCAGGATTTAAACCTGTGTTCCCTATAAAGTGGGTAAAAATTGTCCAAATGTTCTGTATATCTACATAGTGCTATTCTATTACCCATTATTAAGGATTTTTTTTTATATTTAACTGAATGTAAAAAAGGATTTATTGATATGGTCTAATGATCGTTTAAATCATGAAACTCACAATCCCCCCTGCAGTGTTGATTTCTATGTCCACACTGTTTATATCTACCGAAACTTTATCCATGATACTGAG